TATATATATATATATATATATTTATCAATAACTTTTCCTATAAGAGAGACAACAACTAATAAGTAGCTACTTACTACCTAGGCTAAATAAGGAGGCTACTTCTTAGCATAACAAATGCATGCAGCTAAGGGAATGCATAGGGCCTGATTGCAGATGCAATGCATCTTGCTGCATGCAACTGTAGCATATACAATAAAGCCCCACAGAGGACAAAAAGCAATCCTTCTCTGGTGTATTATGCATGCATGCACTATGCCATTGTTGAGGGCTTGCTGCTGATTTATATATATACTCTCTCCTTACTAAGCAGGACAAGGATTGTTAAGAGGGAGGAGACTAATAAGGAGACCTTAATAATAATGGATATATTAGGTATAATAAGGAGACAATAATATAAATATGCAGCAGCAGCGAGTATATAGATGCAGCAGCAGCTTGCTGCTGCATAGATAGATTAAGGAAAAGGTATAGAAGCAAGAAGGGACTATAGACGGCTATTTGTTGCTGCTATACAACAATTTATTATAATTAATAATAGTAAGGTGTCCCCCTTCCCCTTATGTGGGGCTAATAGGTCTTCCCCTTGCTGCAGTAATTAGCTTCTTGCTGCTGCTGCATGCAGTGGTTAGTTTATTTATATATAGCTGAGGTGTATATGCAACTTAGACGGTACTTTTGCTGCTGATTATGTGAGGTATATAGTCAGGCACTAAATGCCTCTTGTAAGAGGATCAATGCTGCTGTTGCTGCTGCTGCTGCTGTTGCTGCTGCTGCTGCTGTGTATGCACTGTGAGTGCCTTTGTTTTTCTCTCTTGTTCTTTTGTCTTAATTTATTATATTATTATTTATAAATATAGTTTATGCATAATTAATGCAAAAATACAGCAAGATGCAGAACAGCAGCAGCAGCAGCAGCAGCGCAGCACCCAACGAACGGTGATGCGGTGGCTGCTGCTGCCGCTACTACTACTGCTGCTGCAGCAGCAGCAGCAGCTGTTGCATTTGCTGATTAATCTGCTGCTCCTTGCAGATATATTGAATAAAATAAATAAATTTATTATTTTAATTAATATAAATGCAGGTGCAAAAGGAGAGAAGCAGGCATTTAATCTAGATAAGAAGAGGAGCAGCTGCGGTACTGCTGCAGCCAGCGTTCCGCCGCAGCAGCAGTGGCAGCAGCAGCAGCTGCTGCTGCAGCCCTTGCTGCTACCACCCTCGCCGCCGCAACAGGAGCGGCAGCAGCAGCAGCAGCAGCAGCAGCCTCCAAGTGGCTGCCGTACCTGTTGTCGCAGCGTCAGCTTATGCTGCGCACTTAAGTAAATACCGTTAGGTAAAGCACCTCTTATAGAAGCTGTTTGCTGCAGCAGCAGCAGCACAGCAGCAGCACTCCCCCCTTGTTGCTGCAGCAACGTGTCGCAGTGCTGCCGCTGCTGCCCCCAGCCCCAGGGCTTCAGCAGCAGCAGCAGCACAGCAACAGCAGCAAAGTGCTATTGAAGCTAAAGAACGTTTTCTGTAGCAGCAGCAGCCTGAGTTGTGCTGCAGCAGCATCAGCAGCAACACACGACACTGCAGGCCGCTCTGCTGCCTGCTGCAGCAGCAGCGCAGCACCTGTAGCGACAGCAGCAGCAGCAGCAACAGCAGCAGCAGCTCAACCTCCTCTTTGCTGCCATTTTGCTCTTGTTTGCTTCCCTTTGTATGGATGCCTCTTCCTAACGCAGCAGGAGCCTAGAGAGACGCAGCATCAGCAGCAGCAGCAGCAGCAGCTGCTGCTGCTGCTGAGTAAGCAACTTTGCTGCAGCAGCACTAAAGTAAGCTGCGCCCCTCTACCTCTCTATCATCTTCTTTTAACACTTCCTTCCTCCTTTCTATTTACCTCTTTTGCTGCTGTCAGCTGCTGCTGCTGCTGCTGCTGCTGCTGCTGGTTGCTAGAGAGAGACGAGGTGTACGTACACCTCCTTGCACTATTGCTGCTGCTGCTGCTGCGCATTTCATAGTCCCTCTACTTGATTGTCTTCGTTGTTGCTGCTGCTGCTGTGTGGGTGCAGACCGATGCAGCAACAACTTACTCTGCTGCTGCAACAGCAGCAGCAGAAACCCCTGGCGCCCGAAGCAGCAGCAGCAGCAGCAGCAGCAGCAGCTAGCAGGACGCCTAGCAGCGACACCAATGGTCAAGGTGCACCTTATACATCCCTGTATCGCACAGCAGAGGAGCAGCAGCAGGATAACGCAGCAGCAGCAGCAGTAGCAGCAGCAGCAGCAGACCCGATGCAGCTGCAACTCGACGGTGTATGTACACCTGAACCCTCCCCAGCAGCAGCAGCAGCAACAACACCAACACCTGCTGCTGCTCCTGCTGCAGCAGATCCAACCGTCCAAGCAGCAGCCTTTGGTGCAGCAAACCCTATTAAGGATGAGCAGCTCCAAGGACAACTGCAGCAGCAGCAGCTGCAGCAGCAGTTGGAGCAGCAGCAGCAATTACAACAGCAGCAGCTGCAGCAGCAGCAGCAGCTACAACCACAGTTGCAGCATCCTGCTGCGCTGCATGACGTAGGTGCTGCTGCAGAGCAGCTCCCATTGGAGCACCAACTGCAACAGCAGCAACTGCAGCAGCAGCAACTGCAGCAGCAGCTAGAGCAGCAGCAGCTGCATCAGCTGCAGCTGCAGCAGCTAGAGCAGCAGCAGCACGACATGGTATCTATGTATCATGTTGCTGGTGGTGTAGATGTATCCTCTGCTTTGCTGCTGCAGCAGCAGCTGCTGCTGCAGCAGCAGCTAAAGCAGCATCAGCAGCAGCTGCTGCAGCAAGACTATGGTGCAGGTGTAAAAGGTTTGCTGCTGCCGCAGCAGCAGCTGCTGCCTCCTACACCGCAGCAGCACCAGCTAGACCAGCAGCAGCAGCAGCAGGACTTCGAGCAGCAGCAGCAGCGAACAGCATTGCCTAAAGTTGTTGGCGTCCGCTTCGATAAAGTTAATAAAACATGGAGGGCTAGCTGGTAACTTGCTGCTGCTGCTGCTGCTGCTGCTGCTGCTGCTGCTGCTGTTGCTGCTGCTGCTGTATTTATATTTGCTGCTGCTGTAGCTGCTGCTGTAGCTGCTGCTGTATTTTTTTTGTTGCTTTTGTATTTGTTGCTGTCTTGTTTGCTGCTGTATGGTATACATCTGTTGTTGCTGCTGCTGCTGTATTACTTCACATGCTGCTGCTGCATTTGCTGCTGCTGCTGCTGCATTTGCTGCTGCTGCTGCTGCTGCTGCTGCTGCTGCTGTTCAGGTACGACCCTCAAACGAAGCGTCGAGTTGAGAGGAAATTTTCTGTTAATAAGTTGGGATTCTATCAGGCTTATAGACTAGCCACAGGCAAGTCCTGCTGCTGCTGCTGCTGCTGTTGCTGCTGCTGCTGCTGCAGTTGCTGTTGGTGCTGCTGTTGTTGTTGGTGGTGCTGTTGCTTGTCTTTTTTTTTTTCTCTGCTGTAGCTGCAGTTGGATCATCAGCAGCAGCTGTCTTCTTTGCTGCTGCTGCTGCTTCCTGAGACACATGTGCCTTTTTTTTTTTCTTTGCTGCTGCTGTTGCTGTTGCTGCTGCTGCTGCTGCTGCTGCAGAATGTCGACAGCAGCAAGAGCAGCAACTAGGTCTTCGTGACCGAAGTCTCCGTCGTACACCAGCAGCAAGAAGTCTAGGTCCTGCTGATTTTGCTGCTAAACAGGAGACACCTAGGACGGTGGTAGGCTTATTCACCTGCTGCTGCTGCTGCTGCTGCTGCTGCTGCTGTTCTTGTAGTCTATTATAGTAGCGGTGTAGGGGTTTGCTGCTGCTGCTGCTGCTGCTGCAGCAACAGCAGCACAATGCACAGCAAGTTGTTTCTTTTTGTATGTGTGTATAATATACAGGATGGTACCCGTCTTGGTGCGGACGGTGCTGCTGATGCAGCAGCAGCAGCAGCAGCAGCTGCTGCTGCTGCAGTGGGTACAACCCCTGGTGCTGGAGGAGCAGGTGCAGCAGGTGGTGCAGCAGGAGCATCAGGCGCAGCAGCAGGTGCAGCAGGTGGTGGAGAAGGAGGAGATTCATCTTCCTCTTCCTCATCAGCAGCAGGAGCAGCAGCAGCAGCAGCAGAAGAAGGAAGAGAGGACGATGACGATCCGGGATCGGCTTGGATCCCAGAGGGGAGACGGGGATCGACACGATCCCAGCTAAGGAGGAGACGAATAGTAAGCAGCAAGTTTTCCCCTGAGGGTGTGGGGTCTGTTAAGAGACACAGGAGACCAATTACTCCTGCTGCTGCTGCTGCTGCTAATCCTGCTGCAGCAGCAGGTGCACCAGGAGCAGCAGGAGGTGTTGCAGGTGCAGCTACAACACCTGCTGCAGCTGCTGCCGCAGCTGCAGCAGCAGCAGCTGCAGCAGCAGGAGCTGGAGGTGCTGGGATACCTGGGAAGGCACCTCCATCTGTAGCTGCTGCTCAGGCTGCTGCAGCAGCAGCAGCTGCAGCTGCTGCAGGTATGCCGGGTCTGGATCCTGCTGCTGCTGCTGCTGCTGCAACAGCAGCAGCAGCAGCAGGACCCTGTGGTATGGGTCAGCTGTTCGGCAGCAACGAGTACCTTGATGGATCTATTGGCTCTTTCTTGGATGCCTACCTAAGAGGAGACGCAGCAGCAGCAACGATGAATCTCCCGCTGCAGCTGCCTAAGGTTGATGATGCTGCAGCAGCAGCAGCAGCTGCTGCTGCTGCTGCTGCTGCTGCAGCAGCAGCCGGAGGAGGAGCAGCACCCGGTACGGCTGGAGCTACACACCCAACAGGAACAGCAGCAGCAGCACTACAGAATGGTGCAGCAGCAGCAGGTACACCTGTTGGCACGGATGCTGCTGCTGCTGCTGCAGGCTCCCTTATGGCAGCAAATAGGCAGCAGCAAGCTGCTGCTGCTCCTGTTCTTGTTGGAAGACTGCAGCAGCAGCAAGCATCGGCAGCAACGCCAGGGAGCGCAGACACGACGAAGGATCTAGCTGCAGCAGCAGCAGCAAGAGATAGAGAGGCGCAACAGCAACGGCAGCAGCAGCAGCCTAAGCTGCAGGGAGTTGCGGATACACCCCAAGGTTTCCCAATGGAAGGATTAGGAACTGAGTAAGTTACATCTCTTATTGTTGTTGCTGCTGTTGCTGCTGCTCTTCTTGCTGCTGCTGCTGCTGCTGCATGTATAGTAGGGTGTCTGTGCATGCGTTTTTTTTCTTTTATGTATTAGGAACGGGGAAGGTTTATCTGCTGCTCCTCTTTGTGCTGCTCCTTCTCCTTTTGCTTCCCTCCTTGAGTTAGCGGTAAGTATTATCCTATATATACATATATTTTGTTTTTGTTGCTACATAAATGCATGCATGCATGCATGCATACGTGCATGCATATTTTTGGGGCTTTGTGTGTGTGTGTGTGTGCATGCATGCATGCAGTCTGTTGGTAAGTTTGGTGTTGGTGGTGTTGATGGGTTTGGAGGTTTTGGATCATTAGGAGGAGGTGGATCGTTATTACCTGGATCTGCTGCTGCAGCTGCTGCTGCTGCTGCTGCTGCTGATAGTAATGGTGTATTAATGCAGCTGATGGGTGCTCCTCAACTTGGTGCAGCAGGAGGTGGACCTGCAGCAGCAGCAGCAGCAGCAAATAATGCAGCAGCAGTAGCAGCAGCAGCAGGATTAGGTGCATCATTCCCTGGTGCAGGTGCAGCATCACCAGCAGCATTTGGTTTGTTGCAGTTACAGCAGCAGCAGCAAGGTGCTGCTGCAGCTGCAGCAGCAGCAGCAGCAGCAGCAGCAGCAGGTGCTGATAGTTTGGGTCTATATAAGGAGATAATTATATTTTTGCTTTTTTCTCTAAGAAATTTCCTAGAGACATCGTTATCTGCTGCTGCAGCAGGAATACCTGCATTAGGTAATCCTAGTAATCCTGCTGCTGCTGCTGCTGCAGCATTATCACCACCAACTGCAGCAGCATCAGCAGCAGCAGCTGCAGCAGCAGGTACACCTGCAGCAACAGGTAATAATACACCTGTACCATCACAACAACAGCAGCAACAGCAACAACAACAACAACAGCCAACAACTGGTGATGCAGCAGCAACAGGACAAAACAGCAGCAGCAACAGCAGCAGCAGTAATACAACAAATGCTGCTGCAGCAACAACAGATCCAACAACAACAACAGCAACAACAACAACAACAACAACAGACCCATCAACAGCAACAGCAGGAGAAGGTACAACAACAACAACAGCAGCAACACCTGGCACTACTCCTCAACAACAGCAACAGCAACAGCAACAGCAACAGCAGCAACAACAGCAGCAACAACAGCAGCAACAACAGCAGCAACAACAGCAACAGCAACAACAATTAGGTATATCATATATGAATAATACAAACGGATCATCATCATCATCATCACCATCAACAACAACAACAACAACAACAACAACAACAACAACAACAGCAGCAACAACAGGAACAGGAGGAGGAACAGGAACAGGAACAGGAACAGGAACAGGAACAGGAACAGGAGGAGGAACAGGAGGAACAGGAACAGGAGGAGGAATAGGAGGTATATTATCATCATCATCATCATTTTTATATGATATATTATATTCATTAGAAGGACATATATTATTTGTATTTAATTGTTATAAATTAAAAGAATTAATTTTTTATTTAAATTTATTATATCCATCTATAACTAAGAAATTATTACTGCAGCAGCTACCGCATGCACAACTTATGAGAATTATTAAGATATTAATTATACAAAGACCTAACTTTGATCTATTACAGCTGCAACAACAGCAACAGCAACAGCAACAACAGCAGCAAGTGCAGCAGCAACAGCAGCAAGTGCAGCAGCAACAAGTGCAGCAGCAACAGCAAGTGCAGCAGCAACAAGTGCAGCAAGTGCAGCAAGTGCAGCAACAGATATTAGATAATAGTGGAATCACCACGACACAACATGATACTCATCCTCATCATCCTCCTGCTGCTGCTGGATTGCAACAAGTGCAGCAAGTGCAGCAAGTGCAGCAGCAACAAGTGCAGCAAGTGCAGCAACAAGTGCAGCAAGTGCAGCAGCAAGGTGTTGTTGATCAACAACAACAACATGGTAGTAATAATAGTACAGGGACAGGAGGAGGAGCAACAACAACAGGAAATGATCCTGCTACTACAACAACAACAACAACAACAGCTGCTGCAGCTGCTGCAGCTGCTGCTGCTGCAGCTACACTTAGCATGCAACAACAAATGGCTGCAGGTCTGCTACATTTTAATCAAGGGTTATGTCCTCCTCATCCAACAACTTTTCCTATTCCTTCTCCTCCTCCTCATCCTCATCATCCTCATCCTCCTATTGATGCTGCTGCAGCAGCAGCAGCAGCAGCTGCAGCAGCTGCAGCAGCAGCAGGTGGTGCAGCAACAGCACCACCTAATACTGCTGTAACAGCAACACATCATCTACTTGGTGCACCTATACAAGATCATCAACAACAGCAGCAACAGCAGCAACAGCAACAGCAACAGCAGCAGCAACAGGCTACAACAGGAGGAGTTGTTGTTGAGCCGACACAAGCAGCAGCAGCAGCAGCAACAACAACAACAACAGCAACAGCAACAGGATCTACACGTCCTGATGTTATACAACAAGACACTGCAGCAGCAGCAACAACAGGAACAACAGGAACAACAGCAGCACAGGGGGGAGATGTATTAGTAGGAACAACAACAACAACAACAACGGGACTATCTACACCAGCTGATAACAATGCAGCTGCAGCAGCAGCAGCAGCAGCAGCAGCAGCGTCTACAACCACTGCAGATGCAGCAGCAGCAGCGTCTACAACCGCTGCAGCAGCGCCTGCAGCAGATGCACAAACAGCAGCAGCAGCAGCAGCAGCAGCGCCTGCTGCAGCAGCACAAGAACAGCCATTGTCTAAGTCATTATTTGCTGAGTCCCTTCAAGAACAACAAAGACAACAACAACAGCAGCAGCAGCAGCAGGAACAGCAGCAGCAGCAACAACAACAACAACAACAATCTGCATGTACAGATGCACAACAGCAGGAATGTAGTGTAGGTGCATTAGCTCCTGCTGCTGCTGCTCCTCCTCCTCCCTCTGGTGAAGGTGACCTGCAGCAGCAGCAGCAACAACAGCAACAGATGCCTGTAGATTCAACGCCCGAAACAGCAACAGCAGCAGCAACAGCAGCAGCAGCAGCAGCAGCAAGTGAGCCTGCAACAGGAGAGGCAGGTGGTGAGGTAAGCGCCGCTGCTTAAGTACCAGGCGAGCGCTGCTCCTGCTGCAGCAACATGCGCAGCAGCTGCTGCAGCTGCTGCAGCAGCATCAGCAGCGCATGCATCTTTTACTTTTTGCTGCAGCAGCTGCCTTTATTAATGCAGATATACATACATGCATGCATGCAGGAGCTTGCCTCTGCTGCTGCCTCCGTGCATGCATGCATGCATGCATGCATGCATGCATGCGCACGTGATGGCTGTAGAGAGCTTGTGTTTTTGGCAAGCCCCCATGCATATATGCATATGCATATGCATGCATGCATGGTGCTGCATGCATGCATATCTATCTGCATGCATCTGCGCATATAAGGGCAAGGATATGGATATATTTATTTATACTGTCTGTAGGCTTTGCATGCATTTAAATGCATGCATGCATCTGCATGCAATTATATATGTATATACATCTGCATGCATCCGCATGCATGCATGCATTAACTAAATGTATGCATATATATATATATATATAT